CTCTAGTCTTACACTGCTAAATTAGGGACGGCTAGCGCAGATAGCTCTCGTGTAGTTTTGCGCGAAACTCATAACAAACAAACAAACAAGCACGAAAAGATGACGTTTCGAAACTGTTTTCTACTTCATCTTAATTCATTAGCTGTTGTACGAGCGACACTGACTGAACCATATTACTGAGAAGAGCAGTAGTGAAGCCGTGAAAGAGAGCTTCCAAACTTAATAAAGTAAAAAATTCATTTTCTTCACTTCACCTATCCAGTGTATAGGTTTTTCTCATAGTCGCTACAAAGCACGTTTGATTCTTTTCACTAAGATATAGGTCTTTTTTTGGAATTCTCCGAAACTAGTATAACCCAATAAGACACCTTGATCAAAGTGTAGATTGAAATTAGACTTCAAGATTAACAATTTTCGAAATACTAAGTGTGTTTATTAAAGTAAAAAATTATAAATCTTCTCTCCTATTCATTTGCCTCCAGTGGCTCAACGGTAAGTCTGGAGGCTTATAACGCTAAAAATCGGGATTTAGTACCCGTGGTTGGCACAGCACAGATAGCCCATTGTGTAGCTTTCTCCTTAACTAGAAACAAACTTCTTTACGTATTGTATTAACTTATCTTTTAATGTTTATCTTTTATTCAATTAATACATATTTGATGGAAATATGTGAAGAGACTTATAAGTTAATTAACTTTACTTAATATCTTACAGATAGCTGCTACAGCGGGTGGTGTTTAATGTAACAATAATAACATCTTACAGATAGCTGCTACAGCGGGTGGCGTTTAATGTAACAATAATAACATCTTACAGATAGCTGCTACAGCGGGTGGTGTTTAATATAACAATAATAACATCTTACAGATAGCTGCTACAGCGGGTGGCGTTTAATGTAACAATAAACACATCTTACAGATAGCTGCTACAGCGGGTGGTGTTTAATGTAACAATAAACACATCTTACAGATAGCTGCTACAACGGGTGGTGTTTAATGTAACAATAATAACATCTTACAGATAGCTGCTACAGCGGGTGGTGTTTAATGTAACAATAATAACATCTTACAGATAGCTGCTACAGCGGGTAGTGTTTAATGTAACAATAAACATATTACAGATAGCTGCTAGAGCTGGTAGTGTTTAATGTAACAATAACCACGTCGTACAGATAACTGCTACAGCGGGTAGTGTATAATGTAACAATAAAGACATATTACACATAGCTGCTACAGCGGGTAGTGTTTAATGTAACAATAAACATATTACAGATAGCTGCTACAGCGGGTAGTGTTTAATGTAACAATAAACACATATTACAGATAGTTGCTACAGCGGGTAGTGTTTAATGTAACAATAATAACATCTTACAGATAGCTGCTAGAGCTGGTAGTGTATAATGTAACAATAAAGACATATTACAGATAGCTGCTACAGCGGGTAGTGTATAATGTAACAATAACCACGTCATACAGATAGCTGCTACAGTGGGTAGTGTATAATGTAACAATAAAGACATATTACAGATAGTTGCTACAGCGGGTAGTGTTTTACCCGCTGTAGCAACTATCTGTAAGATGTTATTACTGTTACATTAAACACCACCCGCTGTAGCAGCTATCTGTAATATGTCTTTATTGTTACATTCCTGTATAATGTAACAATAAAGACATATTACAGATAGCTGCTACAGCGGGTAGTGTATAATGTAACAATAACCACGTCATACAGGTAGCTGCTACAGCGGGTAGTGTATAATGTAACAATAAAGACATATTACAGATAGCTGCTACAGTGGGTAGTGTATAATGTAACAATAACCACGTCATACAGATAGCTGCTACAGCGGGTAGTGTATAATGTAACAATAAAGACATATTACAGATAGCTGCTACAGCGGGTACTGTATAATGTAAAAATAAAGACATATTACAGATAGCTGCTACAGCAGGTAGTGTTTAATGTAACAATAAACACATCTTACAGATAACTGCTACAGCGGGTAGTGTATAATGTAACAATAAAGACATATTACGGATAGCTGCTACAGCGGGTAGTGTATAATGTAACAATAACCACGTCATACAGATAGCTGCTACAGCGGGTAGTGTATAATGTAACAATAAAGACATATTACAGATAGCTGCTACAGCGGGTACTGTATAATGTAACAATAAAGACATATTACAGATAGCTGCTACAGTGGGTAGTGTATAATGTAACAATAAACACATCTTACAGATAGTTGCTACAACGGGTAGTGTATAATGTAAAAATAAAGACATATTACAGATAGCTGCTACAGTGGGTAGTGTATAATGTAACAATAAACACATCTTACAGATAGCTGCTACAGCGGGTGGTGTATAATGTAACAATATCCACGTCATACAGATAGCTGCTACAGTGGGTAGTGTTTAATGTAACAATAAACACATCTTACAGATAGCTGCTACAGCGGGTAGTGTATAATGTAACAATAACCACGTCATACAGATAGCTGCTACAGTGGGTAGTGTATAATGTAACAATAAAGACATATTACAGATAGCTGCTACAGCGGGTAGTGCTGCCTTACTGTAAATGGTCATTTGTCTCCAGTTTCACAACAACAGTGTTCACTTGGCTAAATCAACCATTTAATTCATCATTTATCTACGCCCCCTAGGAAGAGTGTCAAGAACTCTAAAAGATAACATACTTCTTCTAAGACTAGGCGAGCTGGATTACAGACTAGAAACAAAGTCCGAGAGCACGTGACTCTTGTTAACAAGTGTGTTATTATCGCACATTCAAACTTCTTCCTTCTACACTATTGCCTGTAATGTGTAGCACAGGCGATCAATGAATAGGGACGATCTGTTCATGTAATCACGTCGACTAGGGACGCTACCCAACGTAAGATTTTGTTCATCGTCTACACTTCTTCCTACATAAATAAAGAAATAGGCAGAGAGGTAAACATCAGAGTAGAAAATGATGGTTGTACTTTTCATACGTGGCATGATTAATTATAACCATAACAGCGTTCCTGTCTTTGAAAATGTTGTTTTTAGTTAAAGAGCAGCTGTTCGCTATATTACAGTTTACAGTAATGTAGTTACATACAGAAACATCTGTCGTATGTTTTATTAGGTTTGGTACAGTGTACAGTAATGTAGTTTCATACAGAAACATCTGTCGTATGTTTTATTAGGTTTAGTACAGTTTACAGTAATGTGGTTACATACAGAAACATCTGTCGTATGTTTTATTAGGTTTAGTACTGTTTACAGTAATGTGGTAACATACAGAAACATCTGTCGTATGTTTTATTTGGTTTAGTATAGTTTACAGTAATGTGGTTACATACAGAAACATCTGTCGTATGTTTTATTAGGTTTAGTACATTTTACAGTAATGTGGTTACATATAGCAAGATCTGTCGTATGTTTCATTAGGTTTGGTACAGTGTACAGTAATGTGGTTACATACAGAAACATTTGTCGTATGTTTTATTTGGTTTAGTACGGTTTACAGTAATGTGGTAACATATAGAAACATCTGTCGTAAGTTTTATTTGGTTTAGTACGGTTTACAGTAATGTGGTTACATACAGAAACATCTGTCGTATGTTTCATTAGGTTTGGTACAGTGTACAGTAATGTGGTTACATACAGAAACATCTGTCGTAAGTTTTATTAGGTTTAGTACAGTTTACAGTAATGTGGTTACATACAAAAACATCTGTCGTATGTTTTATTAGGTTTAGTACAGTTTACAGTAATGTGGTTACATACAGAAACATCTGTCGTATGTTTTATTAGGTTTAGTACAGTTTACAGTAATGTGGTTACATACAGAAACATCTGTCGTATGTTTATAATATATATTGAGAAAGATCACACGAATAGGAAGTATTCCGTGAGCAAGCACAGCTACTTACCATATTGCACATGACAACTTAATTAAGTTTGACGTCACAACCAAACAGGTTTATAACACTGTAAGAGCCCTATAGAATGTATATTAATAAACTGAACAAAAAGAGAATACGAAATCTTCTAGAATGTTCTGTACAAAACCTAATTTCCACGATGTCCTGGTGGGTCAGTCTTGTTCATACACAAGCGGATATGTTTGCGAACGAGGAATTTATATCAAGATTATCATATATGACATCATAGTTTCAAAAAAGAAATGAAACATATTTGTTTATCAAAATCCCGCAAATTTCGCTATTAACTTTAGAATATAAGACGGAACATATCAGATGGAACCATGGGCCTACGCAGGAATCTTTCCAGGGAGGGGCAAAGTTTTCCATGGGGTGCAAAGTAATGTGAAATTGTGAATTGAATAGGGGGAGATGTGCTCCCCCCACCCGCGGACTTATGTAAGGTTTTGTGATATTCAGATCTCGACCTGTATTAACCCTATACGTCGCGATGCTCAATTTCCAAGCTCAAACCTAACGAACTTTCTTAAGGTTTTGTCATAAGTAGAAAGTTTGAACTTACCCATGTAAGGTTTAGTGCCTGACATTGACGTTGCCAGTTCTCCGTCTCCTAAGATTATAGCTGTGTTGAAATCGGTTATGTGAGCATGCCCTGCAGATTAAAAAAAAAGGTTTGTCATTTTCTTCGGTGTTTCACTAAAGAAACTGTTTTTTTTTCTTCTGATATTTGTAATTAAAACGTAAATTAATCGCTCAGTACATTTGTCTTCTTTCGGGCATTTTCTAATATTTCCTTCGTTTTTTTTTTATATATATATATATTTCATTAGCTTTCCAATTTATGGGAAAATCCTCCTGATAATTGAAACTCTCCAGTTTTATCACAAACGTTCAGAATAAATAATTTCACAATAAGAAAAAAGTAGAGAAATAAATTTACTTACCATTCTCATCCAGTAAAATGTTGTCAGGTTTTATATCCCTAAAAATACACAATTTATCATAAGAACTCGTTGAAAAACGGAGTATGAAAGTTGTTGAATTACTTTATAAATAAGATCCTACGAATATATATATAAACGCATTTTATATTCTATAGTTAGGAAAGCTACAGAATATTAACAAATAAATTAATATAATTAGTAATAAAGTAAGCATTATTTGTAAACCTAGAAGTCCAGTTTTCTCTGTAGTATTAAATTTGACGAGGAAAGCCTAAAAAAAAAGCTTCACACTGTTCATCGTTCTAGTTTTTCTTGGGCTGTTAATCTTGGTAATGAGCAGAGTCACCTAGCGGTGAATGAAAACTCCTAAAGAGCCATTCTAGTTGCGCAATACTTCAAGATATAGCTTTTGTTGTGTATAGTGTATTCCATACATAGCCATCTGTCACACAGCTGTACATTGAAATATTGGTTCTGCGCCAACCGCAAGGATCGAACCTGAACTCTTAAGCTTGCCGTTGAGCTATGGGGGGCATATAAATTTTTTGTTTGTTGAATATTTTGCAAAGCTACTCGAGTGATATCTGCGTTAGTCCGTAATTTAGACGTGATAGATTAGAGGAAAGGCAGCTAATCAACACCACCCACCGCCAACATTCGTAGGCTAGTCTTTACCAACGAAAAGTAAGATTGACCGTCACCTTATAACGCTCCCACGGCTGAAAAAAATGGTGAACATGTTTGGTGACGGGGTGCGAACCCACGACACGCAAATTACGGGTAGGTTACTGTTTTATTTCCAGTAATTAAACCTTTTATTCCCTCGTCAAGTGGCACAGCAGTATGTCTGTAGACTTACAACGCTATAAACTGGGTTTCGATACCCGTGCTGGGCAGAGCACAGATGGCCCATTGTGTGGCTCTGTACTCAACTTCAAAAACAAACAAACAAACCTTTTATTCCTATTGGTGAATGACGTCATCCGTCTCGAGAGGGGACATTCGGCGGGAAACGTGATTTGATTTATAAAATATTTGCTGTATCTAGATTTCATCTACTGGCAAATAAGTTTTCCTTCCACTTCATCACACAAAACTCATGTCGCAGTTTTGTCCTTTGCTGACGTCACCTCACGGGGAACAAGACGCTAATAATCCTCATCAACTTCACGATATCTTTCCCGAGTTATATTTTCCATGGAAACATCTTACCTACTGTAAGTCTAGGCGAGTATCGAACTAAGGGAAGCAGAAAATTCCCTTCATTTACACATTTATCCCCGAAGAAAAACATCCTATTTATCTCTCTCTTATATATATATTTTTTTGGGGGTACAAGTGTTAGGACACGAAATTAACACTTAACTGTTGACCTAAGCCACAAAGTTGGAAATTTAATCTTTTTTATTGTTTGTGGAATAAACCTACTGTCATATTTTTATTCCAGAAGTTGTGACCGTAAAATGGTTAACGACTATGTTCGATTCTGTCATGCTAACCCTTACAAATCAAGAAACACTAAACTAAGTATGAACATACAAATTAATAATATAGAAAGTATTCTTAACCCCAGAACTGTTCTCCGATGGCTTAGTGGTAAGCTTGACAGCTGATGATACTAGACACTAAAACTACTAGATGTACCTGCGCAAGGTTCTCGAAAGTGTTCTGTTTCAAGAGTAAATAAAACCGAAATTAAGAATAACAAATATTTTTATATCTTGCTTTTGAAGTTCACGTGTCATGCTGTGTTGTAGCCTACAGAGTGCGTAATTCTTCTCGTGATTCATGGCACGTTTTATTGGCGTCACGACAGTACGAATTGCAACGTTAAGCGTCCCTTATCTGATGTCATTTTAATGTCTACTGACTGACAGACAACATTTCCTTATGGTGCGAGGAAATTAAGTATAAGCAGACATACTAGTAATAAAGCAAGTATTCTTAACCCTAAAGCTGTACTCTGTTGGCTTAGCGGTAAGTTTGAGGGCTTATAAGACCAGACATCGGGGTTCAATACTAGCGGTACAGAGAGCAAATAGCACAGCTTAGGCTAAAGCAAAATACAACTTAACCCTAATTTTTTTAATATATTTTTATTAGAGAACACGTACACGCGAAATATCAATGTGTCGATAAAAATTTTACATTTATGGTAATCGTATTGAACACAGAATTATATGTTAACGATATCCTCAACCGGCATGGCCAAGTGGTTAGGGTGCTCGACTTGCAATCTAAGTGTCGCGGGTTCGAATCCCCATCCCACCAAACATACTCGCCCATTCAGCCGTGGGGGCGTTATAATGTGACCACTATTCGTTGGTAAAAGATTAGCTCAAGAGTTGGCGGTTGGTGGTGATAACTAGCTGCTTTCCCTCTAGTCTTTCACTGCTAAATTAGGGACGGCTAGTGTAGATAGCCCTCGTGTAGCTTTGCGCGAAATTCAAAACAAACAAACCAAATAAAATTCGTCCGCATTAAAGCAATTTTTTAATTTGTTGTCGTTTGGAGCGGGTGTGGCCTAGTGGTTAGCGTACTCAGAATGTGAATCAAAAAGTGGGTATGTGCAGCCCGTTTCTTCAATGCCGCGCTCCGTGTGCACTGAGGGTCCTAGATTCACTATAAAAGTGACAGTCAATTCCAACTATTAGATCATACAAGAGTAACCCCAGGGTTGGTGGTGGGTACTGTTAACAGCTTCCTCCTGTCTAGTGTCCAACTATTAGATCATATAAGAGTGACCACAGGGTTGGTGGTGGGTAATGTTGAACAGCTTCCTACCGTCTAATGTCCAACTATTGGATCATACAAGAGTAACCCCAGGGTTGGCCAACCTTGGGGTTACTCTTGTATGATCTAATAGTTGGACACTAGACGGTAGGAAGATGTTCAACAGTACCCACCACCAACCCTGGGGTTACTCTTGTATGATCTAATAGTTGGACACTAGACGGTAGGAAGCTGTTCAACAGTACCCACCACCAACCCTGGGGTTACTCTTGTATGATCTAATAGTTGGACACTAGACGAAAGGAAGCTGTTTATCAGTACCCACCACCAACCCTGGGGTTACTCTTGTATGATCTAATAGTTGGACACTAGACGGTAGGAAGCTGTTCAACAGTACCCACCGCGGTTGGTACTGTTAAACAGCTTCCTACCGTCTAGTGTCCAACTATTATATCATACAAGAGTAACCCCAGGGTTGGTGGTGGGTACTGTTGAACAGCTTCCTACCGTCTAGTGTCCAACTATTAGATCATACAAGAGTAACCTCAGGGTTACATCTAGCCCTCGCGTAGTTTTGCGCGAAACAAATCAAACTTTGCTGTTTTCAGTGTATTTGCTGGTGATTTAAATAAAAATAGAGATGGAGAAAGAGAGAAAGAGAAATCACAGAGAGTCAGAGAAAGATAGAAAGTTAGACGATGAGAAAACGATAAATAGATAGATAGTTAAAGAAAAGAGTGTAAGGACGACAGAGAAACAGACAGATAACGAAAAGAAATATCAAAAACAGGAGAAAAATGATTAATTGATCATGTTGTAACACACATACAAAATATTATTGAACAAAGTATCTGTCCGAACACTTAAAGTCCACGCACAAACGGGAAAGGCGATACATGTAATATAGGAAGAAGGGTTGAAAATGATGGAGGTGGAGAGACTGAAACAGATACAGAAAGATAGCTGGAAAGACAAATTGATAAGTAGATGTTAGATTTTCAAGAACAGTTATATGTATTTGAAAGACAGTAATTTGGGCACTAGGAAACTGTCACTAAAGTAAGCAATAGTGATTTCTATGATAATCTATAGTCCCTCTCAATTCACACTAAAAACGTAAGGTTGGGAGAATTTGACTTGCTTTCGAAATGAAGCCCATGGGTTCGATATATCCCTTAAGCTTCCTCAGCTCTAATTTACCCAAACGAACGTTGGTATACTAGTTTTCAGTGTTCTGCTTAATTCCCGAGTTACTTTACAAGACGAATACGAATACAGTGGTTAAATTGTACAGAAAGAATCCAACAGCACGATAAGAAAGTGGCGGATAATCCTTCTATCAGTGATGCTGGGAAGGTCCCTGGACTGCTCTTCAGACTGAAGAATAATCAATGACCAATTAGTTTCCGCTCATTTCACGGCGATAAGAGTAAATCACGAAAGTAGAACGAGAGAGAACGAGACTGGATCTAACTGATTACGTACGATATAATAAATCTAGAAAATTAAAGTATTGTAATTTCAAAAGTTGTTGCATTTTAATGAGGAAGACTACTGATAAATCGGACCGAGAGAGGCATGTGAAAAACGTGGTTGAAAGTATCCCTGTACACGAGTAATTACTGTAACTATATGCGATACAAGTTCTATATACTGGTTGCTGGTTAGTGTTCGTGTTGATGGTTGATCCTGAACAGTTTCGTGATCAAGTTGCACACTCGTGAAGTAACTTGTTTCCACCCTCTGTTAAGTGATGTTCTCTTGTAACGTGATCCATCCTCTATTATGTAATGTTTTCTTGTTACGTGATCCATCCTCCGTTAAGTGATGTTTTCTTGTAACTTGAACCATCCTCTGTAAATTGATGTTCTCTTGTAACATGATCTGTTAAGTGATGTTTTCTTGTAACATGATCCATCCTCTGTTAAGTAATGTTCTCTTGTAACACGATCCCTCCTATGTAAAGTGATATTCTCTTGTAACGTGATCCATCCTATGTTAAGTGATGATCTCTTGTAACATCATCCATCCTCTGTTAATTGATGTTCTCTTGTAACATGATCTGTTAAGTGATGTTCTCTTGTAACATGATCTGTTAAGTGATGTTCTCTTGTAACATGATCCATCCTCTGTTAAGTGATGTTCTCTTGTAACATGATCCATCCTCTGTTAAGGGATGTTTCTTGTAAC